AGGTTGGCTGGTCGGCTCCGCATGGCCGCTGCACGCTGAACTACGTAACGACGTTGACCACGCAACCCTTATCAATAATTACACTCTATGATTTATGCTCGCCAGATCATCTTCCCTCCACTCTTACAAATGAGCTGACTGCGTTTACCGTTTTATGACTCTCTAATCTGTTGTTTCTCATCTGTTTCGATTAGAACTACTGTAGCTGCATTGTCAATATTAGAATTTGGAAACTCTTAACTCCTTTATTTTGTCTTTAGAATCACATGAGAACAATGACTATTTCAGTTTTAGTTTGTACTACTGATTTATCCAAACAAAAATGATCCATTTTCAACATATTAATTGTAACAAAGAGCTAAATGAATCAATGATTTTACTCATATTCAACATATTAAGTTATCCCATTGCATAATTATTTATTGCTCGTTCTTAAATGTGTCTAGTTAAGGTTTACTGATTTCTTATCACGTTTCTCATTGACCACACATTTTTAGCACACATGCTAAACCAATATTTTGAAGGAATTATCATTGAAGTGCATTAACATCACGAATATTAGAACAGAAACGTTATGGATCATATACACTGTCTAATGATGTTACTGACCCGAAAGTAAACACGATTTTACCTTATATATTATAAAAATTCTGCAAAACTCATGACAGCTAGCCTGATCATAATACTGTACTCGACCGAATTGCACGTGGGTTATACCACAGACAAGGGAAACAAACTTTTATTTCCTTAGTCAATGTTTATACCAAAAGAATGGTTATTGTCCTAAATGTGCAGGCTTTATTTGTATTTTGAAAATATGTGTGTTAATTGGGTCAAAATGGAAATTTAACTTTTCTTATAGAGATTTAACATGGAGCCAATCTTTTAAGCTTACGACAGCCACCCTGACCATACTACTGGACCGATTCACACACGGGTTGTACCAAATGAAAGGTTATCGGACCTATACGTGCAGGATTTTTGTACTTTGAGAATATTTATGTTAATTAGGTCAAAAATGGAAATTCAACTTTCTTATGGAGATTTAACATGGGACTAATTTTATATATTTAGACAAGCATGTTTATTGAAAACCTTTTTTCTCAGCTCCTGTGTATCGCAAGGGAAAGTTTGCCCAACACGTAATTTTGGTCAAGTTTTCGACCACGGGGCGAGCTCTAGTTAATATTATGTGAGATGGAACTGTATAAACAGCTGTTAAGTATAGCAGCTATAAGTATATGCATTCAGGTTATTGACGTAATAATTTGATTATATTTATGATCCACACCGTTTCTGTTTAAATATTGGTGATAGCATTAAAATATTAGTAACAAATGTACGAACGTATGACGTTTTTTTGTATGTCTAAAACTGGATGCTTATCTTGTTCAGTTCAGCTGAGGTGGCCAGTCTCGTCCTGCCCTATCTCTATAATAGAAGGGCTTGCCTTTACTGGGCACATGCGGCAACTGAAACACCTTGGCTGGGCAGTGTACCTCGTACCTGTTGTGCATTTTTTCCAGGTATGCTGGAAAAACTATTACTGTATAGGAATACATACAAACCTTCGCAAATACAATATCTGACAGTTTCAAAGCCTTCAAAGTCTTCGAAGCTTGTTAGCTACATCTGTAAGTTAAACCTCTGTTACGATCACAGAGAAATCAGAAAGATCTTCTTCCAAGATCGCAGCAACAACCACGATCACCCACTGCAGTTGTGATTTTTAACTTTGCACTTTACACAACTGTCCTTGAAGTGCCGTCAATGAGTGGAAACCTTTGTAAGTATTGGTGACGATGTTTAAAAAAATGAAAGTTTCCTTGCACTAATACAACACTGATTCACAGTATTTTCCCCGGTCATCAAAACTCAAGAACAATCGTTGCACTTGCGATTAATTTAACCGGTTAAGTAAGGCACAACGTTTTTAATCTCACTTGGTTTGGATGTGCTAACAAAACTTGATCGGATATGGTTGCGGTATTTGTATACAACTTTTAATGTAAACATATCAGTGCCAGCTAGAAGTGAGAACTAATCCAAACAGCTGATCGTTATTTTATAAAATGTAATAGTAAACATTGGGAGAAAATTTGACAAAAATCGAACAAAATTGGGTTTTTGATGGTTTGTTATTTTGTTTTCAAAGAGGCGAGGCCAGACACTCTCACCAATCCAGTAAATACAGAAAAATGATTTGGACCTTGATCGCTACTCTAGTTTTCTAGGAGTAGGCCGCGTACAATGACATTTTGGCGTCACAGACGGAATCATAGAATGGACAAACAGACAAACAGACAGACAGACAGACAGACAGACAGAAATTGAGATAAGACTCGTTTTGGCTTTCTTAGGCTATGAAACGTAAAAATAACCAAAAACTGCATGGTTCTAAGCAATTTACAGACAAAACTGTAATTTTATTTATATAAATTTCACACAAGAGGTTCATTGTTGTTGCCAGCTGTCTTTCAAATGTGTGCTGGGTATCAAATCACTTCACTTATATTTTGGCTTTTGAAAAATTATCTAATGTTGGGATTTTAGGATTAACTTAACCCTTGTTTTGATTAACATGTAACATTGCACTTTCACTAGTCGCTCGGGATTTTCTAGGGATTCATTGCCGCGTGCCGTCTGCCTGGCGTGGACCATGTGCCCAGCCAAGGTGACGATTAGTGAACCCAGTGAACCCTTTTTGGCTTGTGCCCAGTCAAGGTTCGTCCCTATAGAAGTGTGGACCGATGTTATATCTCTATCACACACAACCAGTCATCACTCCTCCGTATGACGCGATTACATTTCCATCTCGCGCCACTCTATGTTCCCACCCTCTATCGTGTTATCAATCTGCTGGACAAAACTGCCTCACTGTTCGCGCCTAATCATTCATTCATTAGACATCCGAGTCGTCCGGTCGCAAATATTATTGGTTGTCGCAACGCCACGTGACCGGTCACGTGATGTACGTGTCACATGACGCGTGTGTGAGTGTAAGCCCCCGCAGACAGACTGTCACATTGTCACTGGTCTTCACATCACATCCTCACTACTGTACCAGCTGTCGCGATATATCACTACAATGAACACCGGCATCTTGCTGTACCATAGTAAAGTTATATTAAAAAATCGTAGATTCATTAAATTTTAATTTTCATAAAACTTTAAAATATGCAACACTAGCCTGAATGTGAATAGATTCCAAATGTATTAGTGACATTATCACATCCCCTATATATGAGAATGCAGGCCTGTACAATAGTTCCATTATACTGTGAATATTTTATCTTCATTTTGTAAGGTTATTTTACATTTCTATTATGTTTGACACATTTTTTGTCATATTGAACATCATGAGGTTATTTTTACATCTTGCAAACCCCGAAATTGTACAATACACTACAGATAAATATTACATACCTTAATCTCTTTCAAATAATCACTTGAAGGGCATAATAATGTTAAATTTTTAATCGTGGGTGGCAAACATAAAATACAGCTGTTTCCAGTGATATCTAAACAGACTAACTTTATTTTAAACTACAAATTTGTTTTAAACGTTTTAAAATTAATTAAGCTGTTTACTCTCCACAGTGATGCGAGAAAGTATGTGTCAGAATGCTGATACCGTTTGTTTTAAACGTTTTAGTAATGTACTATCTTTGTTCAAAATATTTAGGTGGCTTGAAGCAAGGCCGGCCTTGCTTGAGGGGAAGTTCCCCCACCACTGATTTGTATTTATTGTATGTTGCTTAATCAGCTGTTAAAATATTATTTTAAGGGTAAGGGTAAAAACCCACTACTTTGTATGGTCACCATTTCATTGAAAATTATTAAAGTATTGAAGCAAAGTAGAGGGGGTAGATTTCATTCGCATAAAACTGCATAAGTAGCCTATTGAACGAAGTATAAATTATGTTTTGAATGTGCGATTTTGTTTTTGATGTTTAACCAATTTGAAATGATCATAGGTCTTGTCAATGTAACCTACCTATTTTATTATTGAAGGCACACAAAAAAAAAACAGCTTCATTTATGAAACTTAACTGAATCTATAAAATTAATATCTAAAAGTGATATATCTAAAGGGGCAATAATATCAGATATTTTTACAAAAAGACTTAATAATCTTTAATACAGTTTTCACAAATACAATATACACAGAACGTACTAACAATTATATTTAGGTTATAGTACAAGATATTTACATCATTTGGCATAGTTTTGGTGATATGTTCGTGAGTGGTAATAAATAAAACAGGTACTCGATAAAAACATTAGCCTGAAATATAATGTACAAAGTGAATATGTACTTAACAGCATTTATAGTTTATCGTTGTTCAATTCAGTTGAAATATTATAGTTCTAAAACTTTGCATTTTTTTGTTATGCACTCTGACATGTTCTCATAGTAAATCTGCCTAAATGTTTCAACATTTTTTTTTTAAACATAATGTTTTTTGGATTCTATCAACTGTAGCTTAAAAATTATATAAATATTTCAACAGTTATTAGTTCATATTCCAATGGGATTGTAGATTAAACATTTGGTCACATCAGACTTAAGATAGGAAACTAAGAGATTTCTAGCAGTAGTGAAGTCGTAAATCGAAAAATGTAAATTCTAGATGATATATCATTTTCATTTAGTAATATGAATTAGCGTGACCATAATATACTTGTCATACAATTTATTTGTATTGAGCAATATTTTGTTGATTATTCAGCGACAAGTTTCTCATTCACTGATAATATTGATCACCTGAATGGATAAAAGACCAATTACTCCACTACATAATCTTTAGATCAAGGATTACTAAATTCTATTTGAGTAACTACATCACTGTACAACACTGCTTTTTACTTACTCGGACTGTTTACTATCAAATAAACAATATATTATGCTATTAAAAATATTATAAATTTGAAAATGATAAGGAATTTTAGAAACTGTTGTGAAATTCAGTTAATCGTTGAACACCTCAATGTAATAAACCAAGATCTCATAGCTAAATAACTATTTGAATACTTTTTATTTACAATATTTACAATATACAGACATACATTAATCAGGTAACAAGTTCAATATGATCAAACCATTTAGTAAAGAACTTAAATTAATGAGATCCAATGTCAAAGTATGAGATCCTAAATTTCAATATTAGGATAACCCATCGTGGTTTTATATACAATAAATTATATTAAAGCGTCTGAGTAGAAAAACTTAATTTTTATGATTGCTATAATCTCTAGCTTTCTGTAGAAAATTGTACTGAAAGTTTGACTATCTCCGGCTTATAAGACGGATCGTATAAAAAGTACATAGGCAGCACTTCAAGTGTTCCTTTGAGGATATGGTGTATTAAGATTGTAACAGCTGTCCACATCATCACTGATATTTTCACTCACTGTCCAGGGCCCTCTACAGCTGGAAGTACCCTGGCAGGTAGCTCTAGGGTTACTTGGACGCGCCAATGAGAGGACTTGACCCGTAGTTCTGGGAGTTACAGGTGGGAAGAGCGAAAGGGTTCATCGTAGCGAAGGGCGAACTTACCAAGCTACCGACTCCTGAAACATGCACAACTAAACAATACCTGATCTCTGTAACAAAACAATAGCAAACGTACTACATCCACAACTCTAAACAAACACATAACCCCAACACTAGATCAAACCATCTATAGTACTCAACTTATAGTAAAAAAAATCAATAATTTGATATTTTGAAAAAGAGTTCATCACTTTATATGTGTGCGTCATGAAAAAAGGGAATTTTGTATTACACCGACCACAACTAAATTAATTTAGGTTACCACGCCTAAGTTATGTTAGGTTAGGATAAGATAACCGGAAGATAGCCTAACCTAATCTAACCTAAACTAACCTAACCTAAGGGTAACCAATTTAGGTGTTGTCGGTATAATACCAAAGTACCTGAAAAATAATATACCCAACGATTTGGATATGATGTACCTCTATCTCTCTCTATGGCAAACGTACTACAATATAAACGAAAATAAGTTGGTTAAATTATTAGTTATTTGTCATTATGAATGAGTAGTATTTGTCATTATGGAGGTAAATCATACAGACTCAGTATAGTGTGTTGTCATTCAATAGCACAATGAAGTGTGTATGTTTGTGTGAGTGTATGCTAGGGAAAAAGAAGATGTTATGTTAAGTAAGTTATGTTAAAGGTATGTGTTATGGTATGGTGTTAAGGGTGTGTGTTATGTTAAGAAGAGATTGTATGTTATGTTATTTTATTTTTTCTTATTTACGAAATTTTTATTTTACTTTAGTTCAAGACTTGTTGTAGATAATTATTATAGGTTAACTGTAAGAAAGGACCATGAGGTCCTAAATTTGCCTCAATAAAGAAGCATTTTCATTTCATTTCTTAATATACGTCACATGGACAGAGCCTTTGGTAAATCAGTACATGATGATGCATGCAGTCAGTCTCAATTTAAGATTGTCTGGATCATCAGTTCCAGACTCTACCAGAAGTTACAGCACAATCTACAGTATGTCTGGTTCTTGTCCAGAACAGCTACGTATAGAAAGATAGTTCTACAGAGTGTCCGTATATGTATAAAGAGGGGAGATCCGCTGTACCTGAGTCTATCCCTGCACTGTGAGATGGCCCCAAGTTGAGGTAGGCGCGGGCCCCCGAGGTACGGGCAGAAACGCGCTTTTCTCTTTGTCGTAATGACCGTACCCCGCGTATTGCTCTGAGGGACCAACTAAAATAATAAAACAAATAACTCAACACAAAGAAATCATAAATAACGTGACATGCATGCATTGATTAAAGTAAATTGCGTTTAGACATACAGGCATTAGTTGCAGTAAAATAAATTAATGAACTGTGCGTGTTTGTGAAAAAGTACACATAAACTGAGTCATAAATCTATTTCTTGTGCATAAACAACCAAATCATAAAGGAACAGTTTTGTATAATTCTACCAGGTAAATATGAGATCTCCCCTCTTGCTGGCAAACGTGAAAGTTCACATGGGGAGTTGTGGTGTATTTGTAGGTGGCTAGTTTACATCATAATTATATGTTGTAACAAAATTAAAATTAAAACCCTAGGTATACAGAAAGTAAATTATGAAACAATTAGAAAAAGTAGGGGATAAAAATAAGAAATTAATTTGGAAAAAAGTTTGATAATTTATCAGTACATAGCTTTTACTAAAATAAGTTTCAAAGTTTGTGGTGGTTATGTATTCTTGTCAAACCCAGAAAATCTACAAAGTAAGTACACTTACGTAGCTAGATATTTTAAATGTTTATACAGGGTGGTAAAAAAGTCCCTGGACAGTTAAATATTTTAAAAATTATGCAGATAGAGCAACAATACTTGGCCCAAAGTTACAGGGCATAAAACTATATTTAAACACATATCCAGTGATCCAATAACTCTTCAGGGGGACGGCCCACAAGGAGTCGGAAGAAAATCTTAAATGGAAGCATAGGTCAATATGCACATCAAATTAAAGGTCTCTTTTAGTAGAATACAATGCCACAAACCGCACTTCAAAAGGTTGATCCTGCGCAAAATGACAGTTGTTCAAAGATTCATTTAAAATACATTAATATTATACGCTTACTCCTCTACAGCCCTAGGAATCGGAAGAAAATTGTTAACGTAAGCATAGGTCGATATGCACATCAAATTAAAGGTCTTCACTAGTAGATTACGATGCCGTAAATTCAGGCTTAAAAGAATGCCTGAGTAAAAAATTGCAGTCGTTCAAAGATTCAAAATGGCGGATTCAAGAAATCTTTGAACATCTGCCATTTTGCACAGGATCAACCTTTTGAAGTTCGGTTTGCGGCATTGTATTCTACTAAAGAAGACCTTTAATTTGATGTGCATATTGACCTATGCTTCCATTAAACATTTTCTTCCGACTCCTTGTGGGCCGTCCCCCTGAAGAGTTATTGGATCACTGAATATGTGTTAAAATAGAGTTTTATGCCCTGTAACTTTGTACCAAGTATTGTTGCTCTATCTGCATTATTTTTTAAAATATTTAACTGTCCAGGGACTTTTTTACCACCCTGTATAATGCAATGGAATGGTGGTACTTAAAAGTTTTTTAATCGGGGGGAAATCTGTTTTATCACTCAATGATGAAGGTTGTACTAAACGTTATGCTTAGAGAGAATTGCAAATTTATAACTGGGTATATACAGATAGCTTTATATTTAACCATCTGTGATGTCAAGTGAGTGGTGTCTTTTATCGACGGTACTTACTAGAGGAGGAGTTGAAGAGGCCGCCGGCGGGAGAGCCCATGTTGGTCAGCTGTGTGGCCGGCGTGTTGCCGGGCGTCGTGTAGCTGCCCCCGTTGACCCCTGACCCCGTGTTGTAGCTGCCCCCGTTGGACGAGTGAGGTGTGGACGCGCTGGACCCGTAGCCACCTCCCCTGGGCGACACGCTACTGCTCTGGGCACGTCCGTAGTCTTCTGTACACAAAAATCTTTACGTTACAAGATATCTTGTATTAAGTAGAAGAGCGTAATGTAAAGTATACTAATGGTTCAAGGAATAGTTTTATTACAAACAAGTTTGTTAATGCAGTTCCCACAAAATAGTGATTTTGTGAACACCCCATATCTACAATTTTCAAATTCTCAACTTAAAACCTTAAAAACTCTTTTGTTTCAATGCAGGATTTTTAAACTTGATCCTCACGGATGTATCAACATCAATTAACAAATACAAAATAATTTTAACCTCCATGAGAATGTCAAAAACGATGTGATAAAACGAACATCGTGATCAGTTATAGCTTGGCAGTTAAGATATAAGCACATTACATTATTTAAGTAATCTTAACACCTGTTTAAAAAGAAAATTTTCCCAAAATCAGTAATTTTCCTCATGATCACGTAGACCTATCATGATGACTCACCCTCGGTCCACTGGCCCGAGCCGTTCTCCTGCACACTGACGGCCAGCTGGCCAGTGTACGTGTTGAACCCTGAGCCCATGGTGTTGTTGGCCATGGTACCCGGAGACCGAGGCCCCGACAGCCCCAGCTGGTTGTTGCGAGGCATGCTGTACAACGCCTCAGCTAGGTCCGCCGCTCTCTTCAGGATTATCTCCTATAGAAAACACATGGACACATTTGATTGGCTAGGCAAAAATCAGAAAACTTTTGTTTGAAGCAATGTTCAATGTTTACACCTTCTAACGTTTTATAAATTCTGAATATACAATACACGTAACGTCAGAGTTAACTGGTTAATACACTTTTGTAGTGTATTTTAAGCTGTTTGATTCTTTTGTTGTATCTAAAAATGTTCTTAGATTTCCCCCAAAAAGGGAAGGTATTAGGGGAAATACTGGATGACGGACATTTGGCGTATATAAACTGTAAGAAGACTGAATGTTGTTAACTGTTAATAGTGTAGGACTTGTAACAATCACGTTAAACAGCTTGCAATGGCCACTTCTCTTATGGAATTCTATTATGTAATTATGAAATTCTTAGGGAATGTTAAAGATTTGTATATCATTCTACCAGATTACAAACAGTATGTGAGAGGGTAGCTTAACAGATTTTTAACCTTTTATTAGTCATTGTTATATTTTTTATAATAAATTTTTACCTTGGGTAACTTCTCCGGGTCGCCGGGATGTCTGGGGATGAGCTTCTGAAGCCTCTGGAACCCATAGTCTATCGTAGGCTCGTTGAGCGCTGCATAAAACACTTTTGTTAATGTAGTTCACATCTTAGTGTTTGGCTTCACACAATTATGTCTAACTTTAAAACAATATAATACACACACTCTTGGTTCACCATCCTACAACTCAATTACAAACTTGAGTACATCAAAGTTTCAATAACTATATTCACGAGTTTTTAGAGGTTTAACACGGTTGTTGAACATTGTACGGTCAAAAGAACTATATATTTTCCCCTGCTAGACTCTTTAAGACGAATAATAGACTCCTGTATATACTTACATACGTAGACGAAGCGACCAGGCGCTCCCTTGCAGAACTGCTTGGACTTGTAAGAGAGGGTGACTTCTACAACCCCAGGGATGTGTCTGGGGGGTGTCTGTACCCTGATGGCGTGGGACGTTATCAACTGTAGGGAGGATAGTAAACTTAGACAATCTATAATGCTTACTTAAACTATGATACGAGATAATGGTATAGTGACTAAACATTAACCAGAGGAAATGTTAGATTTCTTTAGGTACACAAACTAGTTTCAAAGTTTGTGGCGAGTATGTATTTCAATAACACAATAAAAAGTGCTAAAAGTCTACATAGCACAGTGAGTTGACTTTATGACAAAATATTTTTCAAAACATTAAATAAATTGACATTGTTGGGAATATTCCCAACATTTGGACATTATAATTCAACATAGATAAAACATATCTATAAATAGGTTTCAATTTACACCTAAAACACTCAATCAAGGGTGTTCAGTTTGCACAACAAACGATGTTGAGTACAACAAGGATGCTTTGATATATGGGCCTTAGTCACTAACAAGACTACAAGATCGCCCCACTCATCATACACTCATCTCCATTCATACTTGGCTTAAAATACCTACTTTGTATGGTCGACATTTCAATGAAAAGTATAAAAGTCTAAAGTATAAAAGTAGTGATGATTATCAGTGACGTACCTCACTCCAGACCAGCATGGTGCCGAAGACAACCTGAAGGCCGTCGAAGAAGTTGTCACCAATGATGATGACGGTGGATCCTCCACTGGTCCAGCCCTCACTGGGGCTGATGGCCTTGATACAAGGGGTAGCGACAGGCAGCGGAGGGTACAGTCCTGCAACATACAGTGTGTTACAGAATCCTACGACAGAGATTAAAATAATGATATAATGTACTAATATTTTACACAATTTGACTAACGATTATGCAAGTAGTTTGTTCTTTAACGTACCCATACGTTAAACAAATTATTGATAGGCAAACGATGTATTTCTTAGCGTTTTGAAATAAAAATCTCTTGCTTTAGAATTTTACACAGATTTAAAAACAGTTTATTATGATTTGCATAGTCCTTAGAATGTTATAATCAATTTACAACTACCAAACAAAACTAACTGTATTAATTCGAATACGTGAGAATTATAATACTTGATTAAAATGTGGAATATATTGCGGATGGTTGATTAAAGTGACAAAATCTTAAATTGTTAGAAGTTAGTTCAAATCTTTGGTTCGATTCTATCTTGCTTGGAATGATTCGACATGAGCTTGGTGAAACCAACAACGTAAAAATCGATACAATTTATCTTGAAAACTATGCGGTTTGAAATGTTTTTTAACTGAAGAAGTTCGAGTATATCGATTTGAAATAAAACTCACTTACCTACTAACTAACTACATTTACAAATTTAATTTCTGCAGCCTATATCCTGAAACTAGGATCACGTAACGTTGTTAAGGAAAATATCAGATCCCCACGATTTAATGGTCTTAATGACAGGCTACTGCAGTTCTACAAAACATCGTTAACGATACTTGACCCCAACCTCAATATACGGGCTCGTTAACGATACACTGGCAGACAGTGTGTGAGGGCGCTTCTTGGGGGCGGAGATTTATTGCTTTTCTGCGTATAATTTTCGATCATCTGTTTTATAAGTTTAGATATGTCACATTTGAAGACATATCAACATCATAATTAATATTTATATTACAGTATAATATGTAAATCCAATTTCCTTATGGTATATAATAAGAGTTCTTCTAGATGTAGTGCAGCAAATGCATTCCAAACACAACTTAGGAATAATACAAAAATATTGTATACATATCTATATCTAATGAATAGATTTATGTGGGTACGCAGTGGTAATGTAGAAACGATTCACACTATTTCAATGAAGAATCTCCGTAATGTTGCGAATTTGTTTAACAGCTTTACTGTTGCATTTAGTGAGTGACCCATCGTTGTTTGTACAGTTTGCCGAGTCCAATGGTATTATCCACCAAAGCTCGCCGCGTTGTCAGGACCACATAACCACAATAGTTTTAGCTCCAATCGTGCTGTGTTGTGTGTGTGCCACGGTAAACACTGGCAATTACTTTAGGTTTGCATTGTTTTTTTTCACGCATAAGTTGGGAAATTAACAATCAATAACACCATTTCACATATTAGCAAACATTCTTAGATGTTCTGTGAAATGAGGCTTAAATTGTTCATTCCAGTGACAAGCCCAATCAGACATGAGACAATAGTTAATATTCATGCCATCATTAAAATTTCATAATGGAAATGGTGTCAATTAAATGAAACGTTGCTATTTAACAACAACAATGTATTTGTGTACAATTTAGTTCAACAGTTTTTTTTTTAAATTTGTGTAAAGGAGAACTACGTTTCTGTCTGAATAATCGAATTCTATCTAACAATCAAACAGACTATTTGATGTTTCAATGGTTGCATACATTGTGTGACATGTGATTATGTAACACAATAACGTATTAAAATGAGTACACTTGCACACATTATACGGCAGTGAAAACTGTATGGACTACTTTTCGCTACTAGTCAAACAAATATGGTACACATTTTAATACGATATTTTCCTGCAGCACCATATATCACTATGCAAACATTGAAAAGTCTTTAATAGTCCGTTGGGTTGTTAGATAAAATCCCATTATTCTGGCAAATACTGAATTCTCCTTAACAGCACCTACGAAATCTTTTAACTAAATTGATCTTTTTTCGTTTTCTCATTGTTAGAAAACCCCCACCTTATACAGTAATTCATTTGAACACAAACCAAGAGATTTTTGTAACGAATTTTCCTTTAAAAATTAACAAGGAGCACTGTAGCAGCGGACTCCTGGACTTTTTCAGTGTTAAATGTCTAAATTCGATTATTTAAAATCACTGTGTAAAAACTGGACATTAAAAAACTAAGTAGTTAAATATTATTTAAGGAAGGCGACAAAGTGGTAAACATTTACCAACGTGGAGAAATGGAGAACACAAATGTTCGCTGGAGGATGAAGCACGTTCGCAATATGGAAACACAAGTGAATTAAATACAGGCGCTAGTGGCAGATTTTTATTTTACAGGGGACCCATGTGAAGATGCCCCTTCCCCCTCTGGAGCCGAGCCAACTAGGGGCAGAGGCACGCTACAGTCGCCATAGAGATCGATGGAAAGATACTGTGTTTTCTTCTATCCTGCAATATTTCACGTTTCGTTCAACATTTTCCATTACTTGAAAAAAAAAAAAAAACAACACAGTATAAATCTGTGGAATTCCGAAATTGTCAACAATACCGAAATTTATATTTTATACTTTATATTTTATAATCGCAATAATACTTGAGAATTTATTAATATCTTTTTTTGTCTTTTTTCAGTCTTTTTTACTATTTTGAATTCAATTGATTTAACTGGGCTGATTGAAAGAATTAAATAGCCTAGCTAAAAGTGATTGTAGCATATTTAGATGTAGCTCACATTTATATTTTGTTTGACATTAACTAGTTTGAGATTTCATTCGATGATAGGTACGAATATTTTCTCATATGTACACTTTTATTTTGAAAGTTTTGTTAACTTATAGGGCTACTTTTTCAATAAATACATACATGAAATGATAAAAATCATAGTATCCTTAATTTTTGTTTACTTGAAGTTCGATAAAAAAATGAATTTCAGGGTACTATGGTTTTTGTTATTTTACTCATTCAATATACTTTTGATATTTCGTTAAGTCGACGCATGAATCGATATATCATTGTGCATAGGAACGAAACAGAGCGTGATAAGTAGTTCGAATTGAAGATATTAAATTAACTCCGGCAAACTGATTATCGGTAAAAGTGGCAAAGCAATTCTCTCCACAGAAGATTTCACCCGTTTGAAAAGAGAACAAAAGGAATAAGGAATTTAAAACCGACACGTCGGTCTCGTCTGAGGAGCTTGAGAGGGGTGAGGGGGTAAAGAGAGGGGAGATATAAGAAACAACGTCAAGACGCTTTGTGACGTCGACCAGAAAATAATCACTGAGTCAAGACCAACGTCCTTGGACGTCGTACACATATCCTGCACCAGGTAGACCTAGGGTACACTGGCATGCGTCACCTTCACTATACTTAAGACAACTAACTACTTCATAAAGTATCCTACATTTGTAATATGTGGCAGGCATCTTACAAATAATCTCACCAAAAAAGAACAGAAATCTAAAGATACAGGTGTTAGTTCGCTTTACAACAAGAAGGATACTAATTCAATCCTTAGTATGATTGCTTCAAGGCCAAGTTAGAGAGTTTGATGTTCTCTAACAAGGCAATGTAACGTCACATAAGTACCTGGGATTCTACAATTTTCTCGCAAACACGTAAATTATGCCATAGGCGCAAAGATATCAGGACATAGAATACAATTAAATCACTACTAATACAGTACCGGTATTCAACATTAAAATGAAAAAGATAATTTTGTTCAGTGTTAAGTAACATAATGTGCTAGTTATTATGTAACAGACAGAGGTGTAAACTCGTAATACACGAGATCAAATAGCGTATATTATTATTTTGATGTTATGTGTTTATGGTTTATGTGAATTGGTTCATATTATTTACTAAAACTTTATTTTAATTATATCATCAATAAACGGTTATGATAATAATAGTTTGTAAATTATTGTTTCCTACACTTTAAAAACTATACAAACGAATCAGACTAAATTATAAAAATAGCAAAGGATGAATTTATTAGTAAACTTAACTGCGAAAGATGTTTATTTGCGAAGAACGACGAAGACGAAGCAAGCGTAAGATTGAGTTGTCGCGTCATTGAATCCGTCGGAATAAAAGTTTCCAGCGGGAGATGAAGTAGAGATAAGCCTCTTACGCATTAATTGAACCCGTGTTAAACGCACTGTTAAGTCGACCTCAGACATATTTCAACGTAATTACGGCATAAGCCGGAGCTAATTACGTTAAATCTGGCAGACACTTTATTCGCGGAGAACGCAATTAAAGTAAAACAAATCGCGGCACAAAAACTCATCTAAGTCGGGAGACATTTGTTTAACTCAATTACCGAGGTTAAGTTTCGCACCTCGATATTTCTACGGGTCATTGTACACAGACTCGCTTAGTTTCGGTCCAACTATGTCTGTCCAGCCAACTGGCAAATTAGGTGATTATTTATATGTACAAATTGTGCGACTTTAGATCTTAATTTGATGGATTACATGTATTTTTACCGTAAATAATTTTTGTAAAATTCTTTCCCTCGTTGAAATGTTAAAATTTATATGTATCCATACAGTTTAAAATCGTGTAATTGGGGTGTATTTAAAGGTGTATACAGTTTATTAGTCAGATTGTCTAATTGTCGAAAGCAAATCACTTGATAATAAACCGTAAAAAGCTGAGTATAATGATGTAGTCACTATTACGGTAAGGCTGTGCGATCAAAATATGAATTATTTTTTATATTTGTTTACACTGAACCCCGTTTAATGGGTCCTTATAAGAATCTAAACTTACATGAGGAAGGTATTTTTGGATCTTTTTTTGACATTATATTGACTTTCAGTCTAATGACGATGGTGTACGTAATCAGGAAACTTATTTAATCATTGGTTGGTTTCAGCCCATATTTATAAGTGTTTTAATAGCTCAACAGCGTTTTAAGACGCGATACAAATGTTATTACGAATTTAGTTATTAAAATAAGGTTTGTTCCTTAAAATCTTTCTTGTCTGCTGTGTACACACATAGGCAAAAATGGTGGTGGACAAGTTAAGTAGTTAAGTCATAACAACTGTATTTATTTATTTATGTATTTTATGTATTATAGGCTATGTATTTTTATACTATTTTACTGTTATGTATTTTATTTATTTTTTATTCTGAAAAGTTATGATTTATTCAACAGAGCCAATGCAACCATTACAAATGAGAAATTTCATAAAACTAATCTTTTTTAATAGTCTTTAATTCTGGTTAGTAATAAGAACCTCACAGTGTTTTTAAACCCAATTCCTAGTAATATATTTCTCCTATTAGGCCTGATGATGATTGGAGTGTCCAATCGAAATCAATAACCATCTTTTGATCTTTTATATATATTTACAGGCTTGTTCAATACTGTATAAGTGTAAATATATGTTTCAAGTGTTGTTAGACGTTTATTTACTCTCTGTAAAATTAATAACATGTATATTATGCTGATTATGAAGTTACTTAATATTTTAACAAATATTTACGAAAGCATTGTTATTTATAAATAAAATAACAGACGGCTAGTTTACATTTTAAGATCTAATAAAAGGTTGTCAAGATTACAAACAAACAAACATTCGACCTAAAATTTCTATATTCTCAAAAAATAACACGGAGTAAAATAATATATTAAAAAATCAACATTTTAATATAAAGAGAGTTATTTTAAATTTAGTCAAAAATCCAAGGAAGAAGATGGTCTGATGAAGATTAGACTGATTAGCGGTAATCAGTGATAAGGGTAGAACTGAGCCGCTATCAGTGATTGCCAGTCGAGGGTGGGGGGAGGGGGGGATGTAGCGCCAATACTGGCGGTGATGTAAACAGAGATAAAGCTGGTCTCGGTGCTCATGAGGGGGGGAGGGGGGGGGAGGAAAAATACAACCTGAGTGTAACAAGGGAGAAAATGAAAACGGGATTTCGCCCAAGGAAAAGGTCATAAAGGCCGTTTTATCTTGGATTGTCTGTTCCAATAGTTAACTCAATTCATTAATGGTAATGCCCCTCTTCCAAGAGTTCGTTTACTTAATTGTTATACGAGAATAGCTTTTTTGTACCCCTTTGTCTTCGAGGGGGTTTCAGAGAGGTTTTTAAATTATTTAACAATGTTGTACTATTGCAATAAAGTACATATTGTGTATGAAGTATGTTCTTAGCTTAAAACAATTGAAAACGTATATATATAGTAGTAGTAGTTTGTCATGTAGGGGAAATAAAACTGTTACTATATAAAACTGTAGTAAAAATTAGGGTAATTCAAAGAAAACATTGGCCCTGTCATTCCAGAGGAATCTCTATGAGCTCAATAATCTAGATTGACACTGTTTAATCTATTTATTGGGAAAGAGCTGCCTGTAGTTCACGTGGCAAAGAACTTAAGGGTAATCATTAACTATATGTTAAATAAATAAGGTTTCAGTCAGAATAAACGGTGGACAAAAACAGCGTACTTTGTTTAATGTCCCCTTACTACCTAATTAATTTCACCGTAACCCAAGAAGTAGATACACAGTTTTGGCGGGACAAAAAGTTATTATGATCCCAACACTCGTCCAACTCACTATTGGTAATCCAAGAGTACAGTGACTTAGCAACTCTTCAATAGTGCTGGAATACAGTGGTCAGACATGGCAAAGAAGATACACGTAAGGTCGATTCAAGGCACATGACTGCGAGACACGCGACTCTATGTAGGGGTAGTAGTTAGGGGGGAGGGGGGTGACTACAGGGGGGGGGGTAGTGAGATGACTTGCTCCTTCGCTCAACCAAATCGGGAGCCAATTTCACAAAGTTTTGGATCATGGACTGAGATTCGCATACAAACGAGATGCTCTTCTTTATGACCGCTTGGTCATCTCGACAATGTACTCTGACTCTGCAACGATCGCTGCTCAATGACTTGATGGGATGTGTTTGTTGCAGTATGAGAACTAAACTTTACAAGACGAATTGCATAAGAAATTTGTATGCAAATTGGCTTAAAATTTGAATAAATTTATATGACTTTTTTAAATTTCCTAGTTAATATGTTTAGTGTTTTGACCGTGCATGATATATTTCACAAATTAACCAGCGTTATACAACAATGGATTTTAAGTATGAAGCACAAAAAATAATGGATGTACAAAATTAAACTTGTCCACGTAACGGTGAATAACCTAATCTATCATCTATATACCTAATCTATTATTATCTATATACCTAATCAATGTAACCAACACTATTATTACTAGTATTAATGTATTTATTTTAATATTTTCAACTTATTACATTACTGTTGTTATTACTTCATTTAAGAGCAAAAAACCTCTTACCAATAAATAACCAAAGTCTATTAATTCACACAAACAAGTTATTCCATACATCTTCATGTATGATCCTTATACGTTATACCTAATAGGTAACTCTCAATTCCATTTTCTAATTAAAAGACACGTCAAATCGGGTGAACAAAACTACTCTCCTATTTACTGATCAATATAAAATAATTATTCACACAAAGGGGAAATTAGTTTGCCTAAACACTTTATGGATCTAATAAATATTAAAATAATCCTAACTACGACATCATATATGCAGATTTCTCTAACACTTTCACGAATAGTGATGGAATGCAAGTCCATAGTAGAAAGTAATAAACAAATTTAAGGTTTTTGGCAATCCATTGAAAAAAAACTCTTTAAATACATACACTTTTGGATATTTTAGTTAAACAATCACCATAAAAGTAATGCTTACCATCCGAAGGGTCGAGCCTCTTCGCTCTTCTGCCATGTTTGGAGTTGTTGTGGACGAACATATTGTCAGACACGGCAAGGAGAGGTCCCTCCACACTGATCTGCGTGGATATCACCACCTGGCAAAGCAAAAATATGGATCAGCTGATCGGCTTATACCATGGAATCTCTTACGAGAAATAATACATGTTATAAAAGATAGACACAACATGAAGGTCAAGTGTCAACATTACAATACAAATTCGTGGAGAATAAGTTATTGTTTCTGTGGAGAGTCTGTCAAGGAAAATTTAATAGATATATCACAGTTTAAACCCAATTTTATTATATAATTCCGTTGATAGAAAGTCTGTAATGTTTAGTTTTGTTCATAAAAATGCTGCTAGAACATCCGACCATTGTAGCCCTGCTGATTCCAATACGCTTTCCCTTCAAAAATCTGAAAAACATTTCCAAGAATAGATTTAATTCAACAAATTGCTCGGAGGTCTTACATGTCGCAGTAGGATGTGCGTGCAGGATGGAGGGGTGGAGAGGGGTAGTTGATAATAAGAGAGCCGACTACTTAGCGGCCAGTCCACCATCTTGGCGTGTGTATGTGTTTGTGTGGGGGAGAGACGCCCCTCCCACGGGACTGAGACGACCGCCCCTGGGGAATATAACTCCCCCTGTTCCCATGGGAACGGAGACTCGAGCGTTCGATTCCTGAGCCCGACCACACCAAGGATCGAACGCCGATACTGCTAGTCAATTAGACCGCGGTCTCTCTCTCTCTCTCTCTCTCTCGATCCTCCATTCCACCCTCCCAATCTGCTGTCCTATACATGTTACAGTCTTTAAATTTGAATTGGAAAGTAATCACTTTATAAAATACATTGCAGAGAATTACTTATCAAACACGTGTATGTTTTTCATAATAAAAACCAATACCAAATAAGTGTATTGGTTAAGCAATCTACTTATCCTACATATAAAATAATCATTCAATAAATCGTAATTCAAGTCTTGAACTTTATTTGCATGTAAAGTAATTCAACGTTTGGTATTTCAAATCAAAGTACGATACGAAAATTGTCACTGGCATTTTGAAAATTTGTCTTCAGCTTGATACTATGTAAAATCTAAATCAACATTAATATTATACATTCCTCAATGTATTTTGTTGGCGTATAAAAAGTGACTACTGTATTCGTGATTTAGTTCATACGATCAGCGAGGACGAGGAGAAACAGAGAAATGTGAAAGAGAGAGATAGACAGATTACGCTCGACAAGATGGACACGCGTTCATCGTCCAACCCTCACCAAAAACAAATAAAGCTGTATCCATTTGAACGGCGGTCCCCTGAGTGCCCTGTACCCCCCGTCCCCCGCTCCCTCGGTCCCCTCAGCATGAATAATACTCCTCCATCAGCAATTAACAGACCTCCACATCACGTGACCTTCGGCCCTGCTGATGTCCAGGCTGAGGAACCGACCTGTAGTGGGGGAGGGGGGGGGGTTAGGACACTGAATATGTGAGAGAGGTGGTATACTGTATTGGTTAAAAATGGCTTATTTAAAAAATAGGGGCTTGAAGGATAAGGGGTTTTTTTTTGTAATGTATCGTTGAAAGATGTGCGGTTATTAAAAGACAGTGAAGTACCTACCGTTACAATATAAGTAGCATATGTAATGCGAGGTAACCATGGTGATATTACCGAGTAGGTGACCGGTTTCGAACCAGCGAAGTCTAGCCCAAGTCGCTCCTACTGACCTACCTTGTTTGGTAATATAAAGTTGTACAAAATAATGAACCTATCCCCTTAACGTTTTGTGTCGTCCACATTAATATTTTATAAATTAAATCAAGATTGATAAGTTGGATTGCATCACTCCTCTTATAAACTATTTGGTCATAAATAGTATTCATTTTGAATTTATAACTAAAGTATCACTCATTTTCTTTGAACGAGGGCCCACTAAAACTTCATATAACCCTCTGAAAGTATTTAAATAGGCTTATCTACCACTAGTAACGCTACTGCGCCATGGTTTATATCGTTTAGTTAAACCGTCTTTAATCATATCCCAGACCCGGTTTCATTGAGTAATGGAATATTCATTATATACACTCTTTGAATTATATTCTTGAGTTTTTATGATTTTCAGTTAAATTGATTTCACTTGGAATAAAGTTATAGAAAATAACTCTTCTTTATTATTTTTTTTATTTGAGCTTACTTAAAAAATGTCCATGTTTCCTGATTGTACGGTTGTGAAAAGATAGAATTTTTAATTAACGTTTCAGTTCAGGTATAGCTTGAACTATAGTACTAAATCTGATCCTATATGTCATATAGGCTATATGACGAAATTGTAATACAATACAACTTCACTACAGTCGCGGCCGGTGTATTTGTAGTGCTAGTCAGTGAAGTGTCAGTCAGTATGTTTGCTGAGGTACCACAGCGGTGGTAGTGGTATGGGCGGTCCAGTCTAGTGAAGCGTATAGGCGAATCAGTCCCTGGAGACCAGCCGATACTGGTCAAAACAACGAGATGAACGAACAGTGAAACTCTCACTAAATATATACCATCCGTGAAAAAAAACCTTTAATCGTTGAATGGTTGTAATGCTTTGGTCAATATGGAAAACACCAATTTGTACATCATTTTATTCAACCATAAAAAAAATTTCAATTTACCAATTTGTCATTGGTATTGTGATTTGCAAGCTCGAAAATACAACAAAACTAATTCTTTGCCAAAATTTATGGCTCTGATTTTCCACCACCGGCTCACCGTGTACCAGTCAAAAGAGAGGAGTTAGAGAGAACAAAAGATAGAGACAGAGAGATACAGTGGCCACTACGTTTAACAAAACAGCTGCACGACTCTAATTACCCACCACCAGCTCCCAGTATCCCAGTCAGTAGAGAGGAGTTAGAGAGTGTATGCGAAAGAGACAGAGAGAGATGCAGTGGCCACGACGTTTAACAAACAGCAGCACGACTCTAATTACCCACCGCCAGCTCCCAGTATCCCAGTCAGTAGAGAGGAGTTAGAGAGTGTAGGAGAGAGAGACAGAGAGCGATGCAGTGGCCACGACGTTTAACAAACAGCAGCACGACTCTAATTACCCACCGCCAGCTCCCAGTATCCCAGTCAGTAGAGAGGAGTTAGAGAGTGTAGGAGAGAGAGACAGAGAGCGATACAGTGGCCACGACGTTTAACAAACAGCAGCACGACTCTAATTACCCACCGCCATCTCCCAGTATCCCATTCAGTAGAGAGGAGTTAGAGAGTGTAGGAGAGAGAGACAGAGAGAGATGCAGTGGCCACGACGTTTAACAAACAGCAGCACGACTCTAATTACCCACCGCCAGCTCCCAGTATCCCAGTCAGTAGAGAGGAGTTAGAGAGTGTAGGAGAGAGAGACAGAGAGCGATACAGTGGCCACGACGTTTAACAAACAGCAGCACGACTCTAATTACCCACCGCCATCTCCCAGTATCCCTGGCAGTAGAGAGGAGTTAGAGTGTAGGAGAGAGAGACAGAGAGCGATGCAGTGGCCACGACGTTTAACAAACAGCAGCACGACTCTAATTACCCACCGCCAGCTCCCAGTATCCCTGGCAGTAGAGAGGAGTTAGAGAGTGTAGGAGAGAGAGACAGAGAGCGATGCAGTGGCCACGACGTTTAACAAACAGCAGCACGACTCTAATTACCCACCGCCAGCTCCCAGTATCCCAGTCAGTAGAGAGGAGTTAGAGAGTGTATGCGAGAGAGACAGAGAGAGATGCAGTGGCCACGACGTTTAACAAACAGCAGCACGACTCTAATTACCCACCGCCAGCTCCCAGTATCCCAGTCAGTAGAGAGGAGTTAGAGTGTAGGAGAGAGAGACAGAGAGCGATGCAGTGGCCACGACGTTTAACAAACAGCAGCACGACTCTAATTACCTACCGCCAGCTCCCAGTATCCCAGTCAGTAGAGAGGAGTTAGAGAGTGTAGGAGATAGAGACAGAGAGAGATGCAGAGGCCACGACGTTTAACAAACAGCAGCACGACTCTAATTACCCACCGCCAGCTCCCAGTATCCCAGTCAGTAGAGAGGAGTTAGAGAGTGTAGGAGAGAGAGACAGAGCGATGCAGTGGCCACGACGTTTAACAAACAGCAGCACGACTCTAATTACCCACCGCCAGCTCCCAGTATCCCAGTCAGTAGAGAGAGAGTGTAGGAGAGAGAGACAGAGAGCGATGCAGTGGCCACGACGTTTAACAAACAGCAGCACGACTCTCAGCTCCCAGTATCCCATTCAGTAGAGAGGAGTTAGAGAGTGTAGGAGAGAGAGACAGAGAGAGATGCAGTGGCCACGACGTTTAACAAACAGCAGCACGACTCTAATTACGCACCGCCAGCTCCCAGTATCCCTGGCAGTAGAGAGGAGTTAGAGAGTGTAGGAGAGAGAGACAGAGAGCGATGCAGTGGCCACGACGTTTAACAAACAGCAGCACGACTCTAATTACCCACCGCCAGCTCCCAGTATCCCAGTCAGTAGAGAGGAGTTAGAGAGTGTATGCGAGAGAGACAGAGAGAGATGCAGTGGCCACGACGTTTAACAAACAGCAGCACGACTCTAATTACCCACCGCCAGCTCCCAGTATCCCAGTCAGTAGAGAGGAGTTAGAGTGTAGGAGAGAGAGACAGAGAGCGATGCAGTGGCCACGACGTTTAACAAACAGCAGCACGACTCTAATTACCTACCGCCAGCTCCCAGTATCCCAGTCAGTAGAGAGGAGTTAGAGAGTGTAGGAGATAGAGACTGAGAGAGATGCAGTGGCCACGACGTTTAACAAACAGCAGCACGACTCTAATTACCCACCGCCAGCTCCCAGTATCCCAGTCAGTAGAGAGGAGTTAGAGAGTGTAGGAGAGAGAGACAGAGAGCGATACAGTGGCCACGACGTTTAACAAACAGCAGCACGACTCTAATTACCCACCGCCATCTCCCAGTATCCCTGGCAGTAGAGAGGAGTTAGAGTGTAGGAGAGAGAGACAGAGAGCGATGCAGTGGCCACGACGTTTAACAAACAGCAGCACGACTCTAATTACCCACCGCCAGCTCCCAGTATCCC